AACCTCGCCAGCATTTGTTGCTTGCTGTTCTATTAAATTTTGCTATTCTGACTGGGGTGAGATGATATCTCATAGTTGTTTTAATTTGCATCTCTCTTAGAACTAGGGATTTTGAACATTTCTTCATGTGCTTGTTAGCCATCTGAATGTCTTCTTCAGTGAAGTGTCTGTTCATATTCTTTGCCCATTTTTCTTTTGTATTATTTACCTTTATCTTTTTGTGGTGCCATAGTAATCTTTTAATTTGGTAATGCCACATTGTCAATATTGGCTGTTCTTATATTTGGTTTTCTACCCAATTTTTAAAAAAAGAGAATGGATCTGGTGAACAATTCTTGTTTTTTTGTTATTGGTATAACAAGAATATAGTCTTGGTGGGTTTTTGTTTTGTTTTTAGGAACCTATTTGAAAGACTCAAATTGCATACTAGCTTGAAGAAACATTTTCAAACAGAAATTAATTCATTTTCCACCAAGAAAAAAAATTTAAAGTTAGAATGGGAAGGGAAGAAAAAACAATCTGTAAATAGTAAGACACCTTTGAAGGTGAGGAGGTTGCAAGATGTGCAGCCTTGGTGCTCCTTAGAGGGAAAGATGGCAAGACTTGTTATCACATAATCTGGGCATGAGGTCAGGAGGGACCAGTCCCTGGAGGTGGACATGATGCTTGGAAAAGTAGAATGGCCAGTGAAGGGGAGGAAGACCCTCAACTAGAAGGACTGACAGAGCGATGGCAACAATGGTCAGACCTGATGAGGATGGCACAGGATAGGACACGGTTTCACTCTGTTGTTTACGGGATTGCTACGAGTACAAGTCCACTTATTGTGGCACCTAACAACAACATAGCACATTTAATATATTATATCCTAATGTGACTATAACTTTTCAATGTACTGGGAAATAAAAAAAAATTGTAACTTGCTTTATTGCAATAAGGTGGAGGTATGCAACTAAACCCACAGTTTCTCTCAGGTCTGCTAGCAACATTAAAAAAAAAGTTTCCTCCCATAATCAAGTGGGTTTTATTTCAGGAATGCAAGGTTGGTTTAACATATGGAAATAAAAGTCATTACTTGCAGTGTTAGCTTAAAAGTTGGCTTTTTCTTCTACCACCAAGAAAAAAGAACCAAGATCATCTTTTGGAGTGGGAGTTCTTGTAGTTCTATGACCCTCTTAGACAATGACAAGATACAAGGAGCTTTCCAAAGAATAGCAAGCCCACAGATGTTCAGAGGAGACCAAGACCTTCCCAAGAAACAACAGAGAAAGCACTCCCCTAGAAATGATGCTGTGAATGTAACTTTTAACTCCAAAATTATGAGAGAAATGGTGGGCTTTTTAAAACCCTTACCTTAAACTACCTTAAATGTATCATCCAGGAAGAGTGCAAATGGTCATTACAAAGACAGAAGAGGAAGAAAAGACCAAAATGATGTCAGAAGAAACTCTGAAGATTGCACTGGAGCGTAGAGAAGCCAAAGCACAAGGAAGATTTCAAGACATTAAAG